CTATATCTCGGTTTCCACCCCATTTTATAACAGATTTTTTTCTATACTATAAGTGGAAACAGAGGTTTTCTCATTGACTATATTGAGCTTAACAGTAATATTCTATATATAATTTAATCTGAAGTGCAGCTCTAGCAATAATGTGTTTATTTTATACTCTATGCATTTGTATTGAAGGTTCAAATTAAGTTATTAGTTCTCTACTCTTCTGACTGACTGGTAGACATTAAATCTGCCAGTGTAGGTTAAGATAAAACTTCGCTTAAAACCATGTCAAGAGGAAAAAATGACAATAAAAAATCCAAGAGTTTTACAACTAAACTCATTAGAAAATGCTTCAGGACAGCAAAGTATTAATGCTAGGTGACAGGGAAATGGAGTTACATTATACTATCTCTACTATTTATATAAGTTTAATTTTTTCCACAATAAAAAGTTAATACATTAAAACTACACCTAAGGTCAAAAGAGAATACAGGGGCTGGGGAGATAGCTTGGCAGTCTAAGCACCTGCCTGGCAAATGCAAGAACCCGAGTTTGATCCCCAGTACCACATGCTATGCCAGCCAGAAAGTGGGCATAGGGAGCATACCTGTAATCCCAGCCCTGCGGAGGCTGAGTCAAGAAGATCACTACGAGCCCAAGCTCCATAGCAAGACTCTATATCAAATAAATTGATTTTAAAAAAATAAACTGCATTTAAAAGGAGAATACGTAACTCCAGATCACATACATATTTGTGACTCAAGTTCATTTAGTTGTCATTAAAAATTTAATTTAAATGAGCTGATAACAACTCCTGATTGTGTATTAGGGTCTTCTCTGATAACACCAGAGTACACAGATAAAAAGAACTGTGCTCTCACCTAATAAAGTAAAACCTTAGCATTCAGGTTTAATTGCGGTGTTGGCATTTTACAATAAATAAATGGGCTTTGGGACACAGTTTGGGCACTCAGTCTCTGAAAGGCCAATACTGCCCTAAACTAATCTTAACTGATGCAGGAAGTGGGGGAAGGGCAGAGAGAAAGGAGGTATCAATTCCTATTGTTTTCATTTTTTATTTTGTTTTTTCTTTATGAGACAGGGCCTCACAATGTAGTGTAGGCTGACCTTACACTATGTATGGCTGGCCTGGAGCTTTCAGTGATCCTCCTGGAAGGATCCACCATGCAGCATTGTAAGTACACATCACCATACCTGGTTCTCTCCCTCTATCCTGAGGAAACAAACATGCTACTATTCACAATGAATAAGCAAAATATGTGTTGATATACAATGAAATATTATTCAACTTTAAAAACGAAGTTAGGGGCCAAGGAGATGGCTCAGTAGAATAAGCACTTCCCTGGCAAGCGCAAGGGCCTAAATTCAATCCCTGGTTCTGCCAAAAGAAAAAAAGAATCCTCCTAAAAACAAAGTTAATTCTGACACACGAGGAGCTGGGGAGATGGCTCAGTGAAATAAGTGCTTCCCTGGCAAGTGCAAGGGCCTGAGTTCAATCCCCAGTTCCACTAAATAAATAAATAAAAATAAAAATTCTGACACACGCTACAATATCAGTGAACCTTGAGGGCATTACACTACCTGAAATCAGTCGCAAAAAGACAAATCTGCAGTATATGACTCCAATTACAGGGGGGTACCTATAATAGTCAAATTTCATGGAAACAAAAAGTAGTCAGGTGGTTGCCTGGTGCAATGGGGGAGAGGCAGAGAAAAGAGGAGTTTCTTGTAATGGGTATGGTTGGCTTCTCAGTTTTACACGATAAAAAGGTCACAGAGATGGATGGTAGTGATAGCTGAACAACAATATGAACCTATTTATTAATCCTGAACTATACACTTTAAATGGTAAATTTTATTTTACAATAAGAACTGAGAAAATTAAAAGTTGCCATTTCTAATTGTTCGTTCATTTGTTTGATACAGTGTCACGCTATGCAGTTCAGACTCCTAGCAATCCTCCTGTCTTAGCCTCCCCAGTGCTGAGATTACAACTGTGTGTCACCACACCCAGTTTCAGGGCTGGCACAGCATACCAGGGGTTCCGGAGCCAGCATGGCATGCAGTACCAGAGATCAAACTCAGCATGGCATGCAATACCAGGCAGGCACTTAAGATTGCCTAGCTATCTCCCCGTCCCCGCCATTTCTAATTTATTTGTGTGTGTGTGTGTGTGTGTGTGTGTGTGTGTGTGTTTTCCTTTGGAACCAGGGATTGAACTCAGACCTTTGTGCTTGCCAGGGAAGCACTTATTCTACTGAGTCATCTCCCCGGCCCTATTTTTTTGTTTTCATTTCTAATTTTAATAAAGGCTTATTAACAACAAGTTCATGTTATCAATGATGAGCACTGAATGTTAATGTAGTTTAGATTTTAGTGTCCTTCCTCATAAGAGGAGAATGAAAAAGAGAAAAAGGAGCAACGCAAAACTGGCACCAAGTCCTACAGGATCAGAGCACTAGGGACGTGTGTAGCAAGGTCGGAAAGTTGGGACCACTGAATTAAGAGCTCTCACATTAGCTGGTCACTTTTTAGACCTTAAATGATAGCAGGGCCCTGAGTAAAGACTATAATCACACCAGAAGAGGCCAGTATGATGCTTTAAGTGACAAAGATCTAATCTAGGGCATGACTGGGCCTTACCACAGACTTACTGAACTCAAGGAAATGAGCACTTAATCACACTAGATCACCACCACAAGTGAAGATATATTTCTTGCTATGTATCATTTCAAGAAGCTAGATTTAGTTTTGTAGTTCAAAACATGGATCTGACTAGCCAAACTGACCTTGAAACTTAGCACTTTTTTCCCTAAGTACTGAGGACTGAACCCCAGGCCTTCTCACCCAGCTATACCCTAATCCCTTTCTTATTTTTTTATTTTGAGAGAATCTCCGTAAGTCATTAAATTGTCCAGGCTGCGCTTGAACTTCTGATCTCTCTGTTTCAACCTTAATCCTTAGCTTTCTTATATTTTAGTAATGATCTGAAATACTGTCCTGTGCTATTATTATGGTATTAACAGCCCAAATTACTTAGTCTGTCCCACATGTAGGTTTACATCAATTAAATATATACCATTTGTACTGCAGAGTACACTGGCCCTTCTATATACTCTCCCCTGAATTACCAGACCTGAAATCAACACTGTAAACCTCCTTGTAAACTGCGCTTCCATTTATTCCACAGGAGGGGGCTTTGCTAGAGAGCTGAGTTGTTTAAAGCACCACTTGAGCAAATGCAATCAGGCACATAGGACTGCGGTTCGATTCCTAGCTCCAAAAGCTGCACCAAACCTGCCCTTAAGGCAGCATGAAGTACCCAAAAAGAAAAGAAAAACACTTTCTCCATCTACTTCTCCATCTATTCCACAGGAGCACTAGCAAGAGCACAAGTTCCCACTGAGTGACAGCACTGGGGGGAAATGGGGTTTACGAAACATCTTTTCCCTTTTGCTTCTCTAGGCCTTCCTTTTGTAAGCAATTCCTAGAATTACATTATCCTACGCATTTTTTTCTTTCTCTCTTCTTTTTTCTTTGGAGGGGTTGTTTTCATGGTGGTACTGGGAATTGAACGCAGAGCCTTCACACAGAATTATATTCCCAGCCTTTTTAAAATTTTGAGATACAGTCTCACTCAAGTGCTCTGGCTGCCCTGTACTCTGCAGTACAAATGGTATATATTTAATTGATGTAAACCTACATGTGGGACAGACTAAGTAAGGATCATTACTAAAATATAAGAATATATGGAGGAACTTGTGATCCTCCTGCCTCAGCCTGCCAGAAAGGATTTAGCTATAGCAGTTAATTCTGAGGAGTAACATTATATGATTTATTTACCTATTAACAGGGTCTGTCTATTTCACCAGAATACTGCAAGGGCAAAGGAAAATGGAAAAACAACTAGGAAACCCCTTTATAACCCTAGTGAAACTGAACAACAGCTGAGACCAAAGCCAGAGGCAGAAAGGATGCTGAGAAAATTCTAAACACATTTTGAACTTCTATCTGATCCTTTAAAAATTAGGAAGTAGGGGCTAGGAGATAGTTCAGGAGAATAAGTGCTTGCCTGGTAAGCGCAAGGGCCTGAGTTCAATCCCTGGTTCTGGGGAAAAAAAAAAAAATTGGGGCTGGGGAGATAGCTCAGTAGAATAAGTGCTTGCCTGGCAAGCACAAGGGCCTGAGTTCAATCCGTGGTTCCACAAAAAAAAAAAATTAGGAAGTAGTCCCTGAATCTTACTGGAATCCACACCACAGAAATATCTTACCAGATAAAAATATAACAGCTTTAGCCAAAGATAACCTGAGAATTGACATATTCTGTAATAATCAATAAAGGTAAATACTGATGTATAACATCCTAGGGATTGGATTTTTTTTTTTTTTCCCCCCGGAACTGGGGATTGAACTCAGGCCCTTGCGCGTGCCAGGGAGGCGCTTATTCTGCTGAGTCATCTCCCTGGCCCCAAACATTTTTTTTGGTGGAACCAAGGATTGAACTCAGGCCCTTGCGCTTGCCAAGGAAGTGCTTATTCCACTGAGCCATCTCCCCAACCCCTGGAATTTTTAAATATATTATAGAAATATAAAGAAACAGTGGTCCATGTGGCTCAGCAGCAGCATAAGCACCTGCCTGGCAAGTGCGAGGTGTTGAGTTTGATTTCTAAAACAAAAACAAAGAAAAAAAAATCAAAATACAGTAGTATCTATAAATCCAATTTCATTTCATCAAACTTCTAGAGTTGATATTACCTTATCAACTCTATTTCCCAAAAGAAAATTATTAATATGTAAATTTTCTAAAAAGCTAACAAGGAAAGTCAGAGCTAAAAAGAAGATGGAGTTCCTCCTTTTTTTTTTTTTTTTTTTTTTTTGAGACAGAGAATCACTATGTAGCTCAGGCTAACCTTAAACTCACTATGTAGCTCAGGCTGGCCTCAAACTCAAGATGATCCTCCTGTCTCAGGCTCCTGGTGCTGGAACTTGCAGGCATGTACCACCACATCCAGCTAGCTCCCTTCAAGTATTCCCCAAATGACCGGATTGTTGAAGGTTAGATCCCTCAACAGTGGCCCTGTAGGGAAATGGAGGAACCTCTGGGAAGTGGTGCCTAATGGAAGAAGTGAGGCCACCAGGTTCATGTCCTTGAAGAGGATGGTGGGACCCAAATCGCATCCTCTTTTCCTCTTTGCTTCCAGGCTGCCACAAAGTAAGCAGCTTGCTGTACCTCCTACATATACAGACCCAAAAGCCACAGGGCTAAGAAATCATGGATTGCAACCATGAGCTAAAATAAACCTTTCTCCTTGTTTACAATTTATTTTTATGAGTATGATGGCAGTGCACAATGACTACTTTAATCATGGGACACTAGCACGTATATATAACACAACTTAATTCTTTATCCCCTTCCTCCCCCTCTACCATCTCTCGGTTCCCTTCTGTTTTGTGAAAAATGTATCTTCCTGTCTTTTATTCTCTTTTATTTTGCTCTTTCATTTATTTATATTTTGGGGTTTCCCATATAAAAGAAATTATATGACATTTACGCTTGTGTGTCTGACTTATTTCACTTACCATTATGGTCTCAAGGGACCATCCTTTTTTTTCTATAAATGATTCCTTTATCCTTCTTGATGGCAGAATAGTACTCCATAATGTATAAGTACATTTTCTTTATCCATCCGTTGATGGACATATTGGCTGCTTCCAAAATTTAGCCATTATGAATTGTGTTTTTATAAACATGGGTATGTATTATAGCTGTAATATGATATCCTTAACTCCTTCTGGAAGATACCTGTACTTCAAATAGTGAGTTGAATGGAATTTCTAGTTTTAGTGTTTTGCAGAAACTCCATATTGATCTCCACGGTGCTTGTGGGTAGTTCACCTTCCCCCCAATAACACAGAAGCAAGCCCCTCCTCCCCCGCCAGCTTTACCAGTTTGTTATTGATTTCCTGATGATGGCCAATCTTTCTGAAGATGTAACCCTGGTGTTTTGGTAATATGCACTGATCTAACAGCCAGAGTTACTAAACATTTTTTCATGTATTCATTGGCTATTTGTACTTCTGAGAAATGTCTGCTCATTGTAGTTGTCCAAATTTTGTTTGAGTCTTTTAAGCTTTTTCTCTTTAAAGCTGATTTTCTCAAGTATCTGCTACAATAATGGAAAGTTAGCATATACTTTTAGAGAAGAGAAAATGGCACACAAGGATAGTGGCACAAGCCTGTAATCTCAGGACTCAGGAGGCTGAGGCAGGAGGACTGCCATGAGTTTGAGGGCAGCCTAGGTTAAACAGTGAGCTCAAGACCAGGCTGAACAACATAGCAAAACCCTGTCTCAAAAAGAAAAAAAGTATAACTCAAAAGAGCATATATATATAATTTTACCTGAGCAATGGTGCTTGTAATCTCATTGGTTGACCACCCCACCCCACATCCACCTAAGTGAGTTCTCCCTTTCTCCATCTTAGCCCCACATGGTTTTACACTACAGAAGTCCCTGGGAGAGACAGCTTCCTGGGGAACAACCCGCTCGGGCCCCCCTCCTGTCCCTCTCTAGGACAGGAACTTTCCCTCAATAAATACATTCTGCTCATAAAAAAAAAAAATTAAAGAGAAAAGCATATATAAGAACTATATGCTGAGAGATAGTCTGAATTTCTTTCAATATAAGATAATAAGTTTGAACTTGGTGTATTAGACATATAACACTTTAAGCCATAAAACACATCAAAATTCTAAGTGGAGTTTCTTGAGTAAGTCTGCACCAAGAGTACCACATTTAAATCTCCTCACCAATTACCCCAGGCAAAAATTAAATGTTTAAAAAATGGAAGCTATATTTCTGCTGGGTATGGTGGCACATACCTGTAATCCCAGTACTTAGAAGGATGAAACAGGAGGGTTACTGCAAGTTCAAGGCCAACCTGGACTACATATTGAGTTCAAGGCCCAGTTGAACTATGTAACAAGACCCAAGTTAAAATACCAAAACTAAATAAATTTTAGTTGTATTTCTGTCAATTAAC